CCCTCTCCTGTAGCAATAAAATCTCTCAAAAAATGAAGCCTAGTGTGCATAGTGCCCAGAGGCAGTGCACGTTGGCCCTGAAATCGAATTGGTCAATCGAAACAGAACATGTTAACGTGATGCAAACACTCTCTCAAATTAGTGATCGTTCCCCACTTAACGCGTGAGTACGAGTTTCAGGTGGTCTGGAATAGTATGTCCCGCCAATGCGATTAAGAAAGGACAATATCATTGTTCCCAGGATTTCACCATAATAAAAAGTTCTGATTTATGTACTGAATTGATTTATCGAATGAACTGTCTTTCTTGAGGAAGGGGCCTGTAGAGACTTTGAGTTATATGTAACCGATATTATTGTAGTACAGATTAAAAGGCAAATGAACTTGTGAAACAGAAGGACATGGAAACTGGGTGGAAGTTCATAACCAAATAATGTTGTTCAACCTGGATAAAGGAATAAACTGTCTTTGATGTGTATATTCGTGTACTGAGCATCAATTATTTTTATACTTGGAATATTTAACTATAATACTGTAAACAAACTGGTAGAAGGCGTTTCAGTAAAACGTGAACTTACCATAAACCGATGAAATGAAGAGACTGCACACAAGAAATGATAATCCCATGTTTCAATTATTTGTTTTATTCCAACAAATGTTTCAATCACTCATTTTCCGGTCATCCACTGGCTTATATTGTTAATAGATATTCGTCCATTGTTCTTTTTCAGTCGTCTAAGCAGGATGACCTTGCCACAATTTCCGCAACCAATCCCATTAGCATACATCGAGTGGTTCTCGATTCCTATTGGTTGATCGACCAAATTCATGTCGCATGCGGTTTGAACGTTTTTGATAGTCACGTTGCACTCTCGCTTTTGCCACGTGACAGTCAATATGTAATTGCTTTTCTTAGCGGTCAATGTGTTAGACTGCCAATGAAAGGTTTTACCCGTCACACATCTCATTCTTTCTTAGGTCAAACGCATCGGTCAAAAGGAACACTGGGATATAAACCAAATGTATAGATACGTCTGGTTAACTTTAGCCTATTTTACTAGTTTATTGGAACTATGCCGAGCAGAAAATGAACTCATACCCCTTTGTAAAATAAAAGAGGAACTTGGACCAGGGAGTCTCGAGGACTGTGTATCGGGACGTTTGGAACAAGCAATGAAACGTCACGTTTTTGTTCTTGTCCCAACCGGAAAACAGTTTGATGCCCGAATCAAATGTCCCATTTGTGATAAAGAGAATGAGAATGATTTTGGTTGGATGTGGATACCCAGATCATCTGGAGGAGTTATTTTTCAACAATCAGAAGAATGGGCATATCAAAGTCCGTGGATTGTCAAAGAACACTTACTTAGTTATGTGGAGAGCAGTGAAAATCCACGACTGAAGATGGCCAATCCCNCCCTGTATTATTCCCGACACAAACGAATTGTATTTTGCCGAATTCGATCCGGAAAAGCATGCGGGCACTTACATTTGTCGAAATGAGAATGATACATTGCACCCGTCAAATTTTATCTACATACACTTAGACACGGTTTTACCGTTGGACAATATGAACGATGAGGTCCAATTGGTTTCCGCAAAACGTGTGCATGCGGATGTGGAAAGTGTGAAACAAATTCGTGAATTGCAAAAAGAAATCGAATTCGACCTAGAAAATCTGAGAGATTATCAGACGGAAATTCATGGACCTTTGACAATAACCTATCGATTACACGATAATATTCCCTCTGATAGCCTGTGTGGTTCGATTCGTGTCCGTTTAGATCGTACCTGTTTTGTACGCATCAATCCAGATATACAAACACAAATGCATTACGAGGATGAGGAAGCGAAATTTAACTACCTAATTCTTCGCAAAGCATTTGATTTTTTAGAAAGTTGGCGCTCGGTTGTCCTGTCGTCAGAAATGAAATCCCGATTACAGTTGGCTCGATCGCAGTCACGGGATTTGGGTTTTCCTCTGTTCGAGAACGATACAGATATTTATCTTCCGTGTCGTTTCAGTTTGTTTCAACAATTATTCACATTGGACAACAAATTTTTACCGTTGCAAAAACGCGGAGCTTTCGTCATTGTCGACTATCACATCAAGTGTCCCGAATTGGATCCGATGGAGTTAATCAATATGGCTTTGGAACGGGATGTGGGCAAGATGAAAGCCGCCATATTGGGGGTGGATGATACACGCTATATGAAATTGGAGAATGTGGTGATGGAGGATACCAAAGAGGTTCGTCTGTCTTGCCGTTTGACTCGATCCATCGATTGCCGGTACAATATGAAACCGGTATTGTGGCGTAGCACTGCCGGTCAAACATTTGGCCGACGAACAATGCTGAATGAACGAATCTATATGAGTGGAACTTGTGAGTTGGTTATACAGGCGGTAGAACGAAACGATTCGGGTATCTATCAGTGTTTTATTCGTGATCCACACAATCCAGCTGTATGGCATCGAACACCGAAACTGGCGTATCGTTTAAGAGTGGAGAAAGCCAATTACAAATTGCCCGATTGGAACGACATGTTGATCGGGTTATTCGTTCTGACCGGTTGGTCCATATGCATTCTCGTCCTGTGGATTATACTGTTAATTTTCAATCAACAAGTGCATCTCAATGCAATGGCTGTGGCCAAAGCACGTCAGAATAGGAATCGTGAAATGGCCGGGATTGCGACTGATTTTCCCGTTGACACTGAATCACCGGTTTGAGTAGTGTTTTTTATTATTGTTTTTTTTAACAAACTAGAAGTGATGTTGGGAGTGTTGGAGTGGATTTTTTGCATGTTTTAAAATATCTATGCATGTTCCACTCACGTCTGAGTTCAGACTTTGCGTCAAACAAACCAAATTACAATGATATTTCTGAAAAGAAAAAAAGGTCGACGATTTGCTTGTGGGTGGAATACTGCCAAAACCTGACCTGCAAGACAGCAGGCGGTGTGTGAAAACTGCAATCCATTAAAGCTGGTGTCCAATTCATCGGATCATAAGTCCTTTGGACGGGGATAAACGTCCAATAGACTCCAATACGCAATCGAGCTGATCACAACTGTCACAGCCAGTTAGGTGTGTTTGTTTGTCTGTGCTTTGTACGCCTCTTCTTGGTTCGTCAGGAATCAGAGGTTTTAGTCAGCTCCCTTAGGTAAACTGCTTATGGTTTACCAATCCGGTTGTAGTTGCGCATTTGGGATTTTGTCATCTCACTTTGGTGAGAAAACAACTGAGCTACGTGAAGTCAAGTTATAGAGGGGGCTATTTGCAATGCGTTTCGCGAGTAGCAGAG